TATCGATGTTTGCATCGTCAACTACGCGATACGAGTGCATCGATACAAAACACGTTTAGGCAATATATCAGGATATTTATATCGCGAAGGGTCCATGATACATCGATGTATCGCCACAAGGGACGATATATCCCGATACTACTTAAATATTACTTAAAGTTGTAGGGAGTATTGCATAAGTAATAGGAAGGGAGTCTCTTTGAAATTTTTCTGAATTTTAAAAACAAACTGAACCTAAAAGGAATTTGTTTGTGCCTGCCATCTTGGTTACATGAACAAAGGAGTTAGTGTATCAGTGAAAGCATGTGAACAATCTCTGTGAACTGTGAAGACTTGTCTTTAAGTAATTGAAACATCTTTTAGTTGTTTGACAAATAACACCATTTATTAACAACTATGAACGATGTCTTAGCTTTGTTAAGAAAGAGAAGATAAAATTTAGAAAGCATACTTATGAGTTTTTTTGCAGTGATTCTGGTATAAATTACTGTATAAATTGTCTGTGCAAGCATTGGTGCAGAAACACAACTTTCCAAGGGAAACCTAGAGCAAGGTATACTGAATATGTTTGATTGTACTTTCTTTAGCATTAAATGCTGAAATTTTATTACATGAACAGCCTTTTAAGTTGTGTGAATGTAACGCATGTTCTGCTGAATAACAAATAAAATTTCAGTCATTTTATCTATCATATATGACCTGTTTTAAGGATTGTAAAGTATCGGGATAAGTATCGTATCGCCATCACTGTATCGTGATGATAATCGTCTCGCAGGTTCCTTGCCAATACTTTCATGATATATCGTCTCGCCTCATTAAACTAGTATCGGGATATATCGTCTCGCCACTTAGGCCACGATACACAGCTCTAGTATTGACCACAGTGATGGGTATTGACCACAGTGATGGTATTGACCACAGTGGTGGGTATTGACCACAGTGATGGGTATTGACCACAGTGATGGGTATTGACCACAGTGATGGTATTGACCACAGTGATGGTATTGACCACAGTGTTTGGTATTGACCACAGTAGTGTTTATTGACCACAGTGGTGGGTATTGACCACAGTGATGGGTATTGACCACAGTGGTGGGTATTGACCACAGTGATGGGTATTGACCACAGTGATGGGTATTGACCACAGTGACAGTATTGACCACAGTGATGGTATTGACCACAGTGACAGTATTGACCACAGTGGTGGGTATTGACCACAGTGATGGTATTGACCACAGTGATGGGTATTGACCACAGTGATAGTATTGACCACAGTGGTGGTTATTGACCACAGTGGTGTTTATTGACCACAGTGGTGTTTATTGACCACAGTGATGGGTATTGACCACAGTGATAGGTATTGACCACAGTGGTGTTTATTGACCACAGTGGTGTTTATTGACCACAGTGATGTTTATTGACCACAGTGATGGGTATTGACCACAGTGGTGGGTATTGACTACAGTGATGGGTATTGACCACAGTGACAGTATTGACCACAGTGGTGGGTATTGACCACAGTGGTGGGTATTGACCACAGTGATGGGTATTGACCACAGTGATGGTATTGACCACAGTGATGGTATTGACCACAGTGATGGGTATTGACCACAGTGTTTGGTATTGACCACAGTAGTGTTTATTGACCACAGTGGTGGGTATTGACCACAGTGATGGGTATTGACCACAGTGGTGGGTATTGACTACAGTGATGGGTATTGACCACAGTGACAGTATTGACCACAGTGGTGGGTATTGACCACAGTGATGGGTATTGACCACAGTGATGGGTATTGACCACAGTGACAGTATTGACCACAGTGATGGTATTGACCACAGTGATGGGTATTGACCACAGTGGTGGGTATTGACCACAGTGATGGGTATTGACCACAGTGATAGGTATTGACCACAGTGGTGTTTATTGACCACAGTGGTGTTTATTGACCACAGTGGTGTTTATTGACCACAGTGATGGGTATTGACCACAGTGGTGGGTATTGACTACAGTGATGGGTATTGACCACAGTGACAGTATTGACCACAGTGGTGGGTATTGACCACAGTGGTGGGTATTGACCACAGTGATGGGTATTGACCACAGTGATGGGTATTGACCACAGTGATGGTATTGACCACAGTGATGGGTATTGACCACAGTGTTTGGTATTGACCACAGTAGTGTTTATTGACCACAGTGGTGGGTATTGACCACAGTGATGGGTATTGACCACAGTGGTGGGTATTGACTACAGTGATGGGTATTGACCACAGTGACAGTATTGACCACAGTGGTTGGTATTGACCACAGTGATGGTATTGACCACAGTGATGGGTATTGACCACAGTGACAGTATTGACCACAGTGATGGTATTGACCACAGTGATGGGTATTGACCACAGTGATGGTATTGACCACAGTGATGGGTATTGACCACAGTGATGGGTATTGACCACAGTGATAGGTATTGACCACAGTGGTGTTTATTGACCACAGTGGTGTTTATTGACCACAGTGGTGTTTATTGACCACAGTGGTGTTTATTGACCACAGTGATGGGTATTGACAACAGTGATGGGTATTGACCACAGTGATGGGTATTGACCACAGTAGTGTTTATTGACCACAGTGGTGGGTATTGACCACAGTGATGGGTATTGACCACAGTGACGGTATTGACCACAGTGACAGTATTGACCACAGTGGTGGGTATTGACCACAGTGATGGTATTGACCACAGTGGTGGGTATTGACCACAGTGATGGGTATTGACCACAGTGATGGGTATTGACCACAGTGATGGTATTGACCACAGTGATGGTATTGACCACAGTGATGGGTATTGACCACAGTGTTTGGTATTGACCACAGTAGTGTTTATTGACCACAGTGGTGGGTATTGACCACAGTGATGGGTATTGACCACAGTGACAGTATTGACCACAGTGGTGGGTATTGACCACAGTGATGGTATTGACCACAGTGATGGGTATTGACCACAGTGACAGTATTGACCACAGTGGTGGGTATTGACCACAGTGATGGGTATTGACCACAGTGATGGTATTGACCACAGTGATGGGTATTGACCACAGTGATAGGTATTGACCACAGTGGTGTTTATTGACCACAGTGGTGTTTATTGACCACAGTGGTGTTTATTGACCACAGTGATGGGTATTGACCACAGTGATGGGTATTGACCACAGTGATGGGTATTGACCACAGTGATGGGTATTGACCACAGTAGTGTTTATTGACCACAGTGGTGGGTATTGACCACAGTGATGGGTATTGACCACAGTGACGGTATTGACCACAGTGGTTGGTATTGACCACAGTGATGGGTATTGACCACAGTGATCTGTATTGACCACAGTGGTGTTTATTGACCACAGTGATGGGTATTGACCACAGTGGTGTTTATTGACCACAGTGACGGTATTGACCACGGTGATGGGTATTGACCACAGTGATGGGTATTAACCACAGTGATCTTTATTGACCACAGTGATGGGTATTGACCACAGTGATGGTATTGACCACAGTGACGGTATTGACCACAGTGATGGGTATTGACCACAGTGGTGGGTATTGACCACAGTGATGGGTATTGACCACAGTGATGGGTATTGACCACAGTGGTGTTTATTGACCACAGTGATGGTATTGACTACAGCGATGGGTATTGATAGCAGCGATGGGTATTGACTACAGCGATGGGTATTGACCACAGCGATGGGTATTGACCACAGTGATGTTTATTGACCACTGTGGTGTTTATTGACCACAATGCTGGGTATTGACCACAGTGGTGGTTATTGACCACAGTGATGGGATGTTTATTGTATGTTACTGCAGTAGTGACTCATGTATTGCGATGTGTACCATACCACAATTGATGTTTCATCTCTACTGTTGATAGGGACATGGATAAATGTGCACCCATACATAAGTGTTTTCCTGCATTTTTTCAAAACTCTGCCATTTTGTTGGTGGTTGCTATGGTCACATGATGGTCAAACCTCAAGTGACCATAGCAATTTTATACACAAAGATGGTCATGAATATTAACAGTTGTCACCCCTGAGTGTGTAGGCAGATGTCAAACGTCCTTGTTTTTTGTGTCAAAGTCAAGTAAAACTAGATATATATTTTTGGTCTTAATAGCTGAAAAAACACATCCATTCAGATGTTGGTGGGGTCTTAAGACCGTATCATCATGGTCATGAGATGTCTTGCAACTTTGTAATAATACCCATTTCTGAAATTTTAGTATTGATATATTTCCTTAAAAGATTTCTCAGCATATTCATGCATTGATTTATAAGGTTAAGTATTCCATGTTCATAAATTTGTACAGATGCAATGTCTACATTAAACATTTAATGATGATACCGCTACTGATGTTTCTTGCCAGTGTCACACTGACCACTGACTTGCCATTCTTATTTAGTTCCAAGATTTTCTTCTCAAGGAGCTTCCATGATGAAACTAGCATTACGCTGATGACATGGCTTGATTGTGACATCATAAGCATATGCTGGACACAAAGCAACATCTCAAAAAATATTTAAGAATTCTGCACTCGCCGTGCAGGGCGTGTAATATGAACTTTCCACTCGTCCTTCTAAAATTGTACTTGCCCTATTGATCATGCATCACAATGAATATAAATTTAAATTATTGTATTTCAAACTGTTTGCTTGGAATAAAACTACAATAAACATTACTTACTTTGTCTTCTGTACAAAATCTTTGACAAAATTGAATTTGTTCACATTTAAGATAGCTGAACATCAAGGAAAAAGAAAAATGTTACTTTTTGGTCAGAAAACGTACTCGTCTTCTAGGAGTAGGACCAGCAAATTATGTTTTTCACTTGCCCGAAACAAATTTTACTCGTCAATATGAGCGGACGAGTGGAATTTTCGAGCCCTGCATCTGCTATTAAGACAATACTGTACTGTAGATATAAATGACTGTTCCTCTGTTCCAGGCGGATGAGAAACATAATCGAGTCCATGAACTTATCACCGACCATGGAAAGGTAAGTGCTCTTTGGTATGGAAGAAATGGGTGATGCAGCATAAGAATGCCTTTGTAATACTACACAAGAAATCAAAAGTTGCATATTTCTGTCAGAAAGTCAGGGACATCATTGGACCCTTTAGGTCTCCTATAGTCCTTGAATCTAAGGGGTTTTCAGTGGGATAGCCTAGTGGTTAAAGTGTTCGCTTGTCCAGGTTATTGACCCCAATGTTGTTTGACATCACGGTTAGTTTCTAGCTGGGTTTTTTTAAGAAGAGTTTTCCAGCTATTTTTAAATGGGGCTGTTTTTGTGTGTGTTTAGGGGTAGTGAAGGAGATGTGATATTAGCTTGTGATTAGTGATGCATTTATCGTAAATACTATACTTAACTTTAAGAAGTCATATTGATCTTAGTATGTCGGTTGTATGTCAGTATGTCATTTCTGGGATTAAAACATCCAAACTCCAATGTTGGCATATACATGATGTAAAACTGTTGTGTGTGTACAAGACACCCTTTAATATACCAAACTGCTACACAAATTGTTTCATTTTTCACACTATATATATTAAAAGTAGCAACAAGAGTTAATATATCATGGTATATTTTTGTAACATTAATGCATTTTCTTCTAATCATTGCCAGGGGCGTAACTACCATTATTAAAAAAAAGACCAGGCTTACACATGATTGATGCTAAAAAAGTTGGGCAAGAGCTCAACACTATCTAGTATAAAGCTTTGCAACCTATCAGGCTTACAATAAAAAATTGGCTTGCTACGCGCATGGTTGCATGGAAACTCTTTTTCAATAAAATACTGAATAATGCTTAACAGAGGTCCAGTTAAGCTGCATATCCGGGTAAAATACGCAGTAGAAAATTTCCAATTACGCATTGAAAAATAATTGTTGTGTACCAATTACGCATTTAAACTGTTAGATACGCAAAGTGTTTAAAACAAATGCATACGGAATATACTTATTAAAATCGCTTGCGTAATGAAAAAGACATCGATTGCTGTCAAGTTGTACTGTTAGTATAGGACAAGTGTTGTACTGTCAGTATGGGATGACTGATTTTATATGAAATCATTTCCATTATATTTAAGTAGGTTTTGATTAGGTATGACATAAGGCAGAACATACCTGCTTAGTAAACTTACTCAATGACACAATACTTAGGTGTGTAAAATGACTGAAATACGCACACATTTGAAAGCAGTGGGTAACGGAAAATGAAATACCCACTCAACATTCATAATACCCACTCCAAAAGAATACAGTGGGTACAGTACCCACATGAACTAAATCTTATCTGGAGCTCTGGCTTAAGCAATGGTAATGAAAAAGTGTGTACAGAGGACTGTTTTATCTTATCGCATTGTACGAGACAATGACACAATTCTTATTCTCTAACCCTGCATAGCATAACGGGAAATACAAGCAAAATAGTGTTTTCTTGTGGTGGTTTATTATAAAGGTGGCCTTTATCTAAGTTAGGTTTGTTATCTCCTGTTCACTTAAAGCGATACAGCATAGTTTTGGACAAAGCATCAGACACCCTTTAATATACCAAACTGCTACACAAATTGTTTCATTTTTCACACTATATATATTAAAAGTAGCAACAAAAGTTAATATATCATGATATATTTTTGTAACATTAATGCATTTTCTTCTAATCATTGCCAGGGGCGTAGGTACCATTAGTAAAAAATACCCAGGCTTACACATGATTGATGCTAAAAGGGTTGGGCATCTCAACACTATCTAAGTATAAAGCTTTGTAGTCTATCGAGCTTACGAGAAAAAAATTGGCTTGCTACGTGCCTGATTGCATGGAAACTCTTTTCAATGCCTAAGCAATGGTAATGAAAAAGTATGTACAGAGGACTGTTGTATCTTATCATATTTTACGAGATGTTATTGCTGGAATATTGCTAAAAGCTGCGTAAAACCATACTCACTCACTCACTCTTATTATCTAAAAAATACCCTGCTTAGCATAACAGGAAATACAAGCAAAATAGTATTTTCTTGTGGTGGTTTATTTTATTGTAAAGTTAGGTTTGTTATCTCCTGTTCACTTGAAGTGATACAGCATAGTTTTGGACAAAGCATCAGTGGTATATTTGTGTGATGACAGGTATATACTGTACTTCGTTTATCATGGCAACTGTGTTATCTGTATGGTGACATTTTGCTAAATCTGTCTTCATTTTGTAACTCATTCATTGCTTATCCTCCATATTTCATGCTAATGGCTTTCCTCATTGATAATTCCCGGGGCACAACATGTTATAAAATGTCCTAATCTGCACTGAAATCAATTTTCTTGTGTATGCATCTTTCAACTTTCTGATTATTGAATTCTCTCCTGATAAATGATTTTGAGATTGAAATAATGTACAAATTAGAATTGATCACATTTATACAAGTGATAAAAGTACAATAACTATCAGCCTGATCAATACATCACCACAGGGCTTATCATCAGGTTTGTGTTGCATTGAACATATCAGGACTACACGACTCAAATAGTCACAGGAAACACAATATTCATGGACTTTGCTTGAAACTCTATCTACCTGTCTGGGTTTTTTTTCTTCCACGATAAGCTTTCACACCAGGAAACACAACCAACCAACCAAGTCAGTCAAATTAGGGGTGGTGGGGTAGTGGTTAAAGCATTGACTTGTCACTCTGAAGACCCGGGTTCTACTCTCCACATGGGTACAATGTATGAAGCCCCTTGGTGTCCCTGGGCCGTAATATTGCTAAAAGCAGCGTAAAGCTAAAGTCAATCAAATCAATCCACCAAACAATTAATCCATTCAGTCGTAAGTTTTGATAGGTACCCCATTCCTCTGTGCCCACTTGTTTGCGTACACTGATTAGAGTAGATCATGTTCATGAACATGGCTGTTTTCAGGGTTTAACACGACACATAAATATGCATCCAGTATAAGTATATGTATAGAAATATGCAGGGGAAATATATATTGTGTCCTGTGATATTCAGCGTACCCAATTCTTACCAGCAAGTTAGAGGTCCTGTAGTCAAAGTAATTGTAAACTCCTACAAACTCTCTCCAGCTACCCTTTCCATTATTTTACAGAACCCTCATATTTGAGTGAGGGCACTTGAAATTAGTAATGCTTAGTTTATGGATTAAGATAAAACCCTGGATACTTTGTTTTGCAGAGTCGACTTTCCAGTTCTCGACGCAACAGTAATGACTCAAATGACAGCGTGGAGTCCAACAGAGAGAGGGACCGCGACCTTAAGGTAAGGACCTGTTTTCATGCACATAACCGAATGTGCCATCTGATTCTAGAGATGTTTACAGCATGCAACAGTAAACATGTTATTTTATACTAATCATATATGGCAGCACAATCAACTTTTGAAACTGTATCGCTAAAATCTCACTGTACCTTTCAGCTTAACAAGGATTTAACTCAACAGGAAAATATTATTTTCCTATGCTAATTGTTAAGCAGGCTTTGTTAGAATTTGACCACCCCCTCCTTAGTTTCGAAACCATATTGTGTGGACATCTCTGATATGAAGAATGTCACCATTATGGATATATTTGTACAGGAATTTCTATTCTTTTTCAGAGAGATCGTCCTTGGGGTACATATTATGCATTTTCCGGCTGAAAAATGTCCTGTGACAGTTGTATCAATGTTTTTTGAATAAAGAGATTGAACAATAAATAAACTCTTTTATTTATTATACGGCCCCTACCTCACGGAGTTACCTCCCTTAGCGCATGCGCACCAACTGGGTAGGCTCCTAGACCCGTATCATCATTCCTTCTGCTGTCACTGCCGTGAACAGACGTGTTTATAATAGAACGCACTTCATGAGCCGGACAGCGCTGAAAGCTACTAAGAAAGCTATGTCTGAGACACCACCTGTATGTATGGTCTTTATTTGCCTAAAACAAGGAACAGTAAAGCTTTACAGTTGGTTGTTTCATAATTGTGACTTTGTATTAATACAAATTACGCGAACTTTCCCGTGGTTTTACGCGACGTGTTGCTCTGCCATGGCGGGAAGTTTAGCATGCCATGTGGTCGTAATATTGGCGTATTAAAACCAACTATTACTTTCCGTGGTAACCTTCACGTATGTATTTTCAATGTTTTCTACGTGTTTATATCCTGCTGGCCGCTGTTAGCTACATGCTTGCGTGTTTGCTTTCAGGCCTTTTCATCCTGTTCGGTCTGTGGTCAGAGAGAAATTCCACGGGCCGACAGGCATGAGCTATGCGTTGCCTGTCTTGAGAAGACGGGCCACGACGCTGAGTCCTGCCCTATTTGTCTGGCCTTTTCCCCCCGGGCCCAGAAGAGGCGGGCGGCCGATACGTTGTTTTATCGTGAGATGCGTGAGGCGGAGGGGACCTGACGCAGGTCCCCCCGTCTAAAACAAAACGTACGTCAAAAAAGGGAAAAAAATCCCGAGGCCCTTCCCCCTCTCCTACCACTTCGAGTGGTTTTGACATGTCGGTAATGGACTCTATGTTTCAGCAGCATATGGACTCCGTGAAGTCCTTCGTTCGGGAGTCGGTTGGAGGTCTCCGGCAGGAGTTCCTCGCCCACTCCGGACGGGGGGCGGAGAGTCCGGGGGTGGGATCGCCGGGCTCGGCTCGATCCCTCAGCCTTGAGGCGTCTGTAGATCCGTTGCCTCTGGCTTCGGATCCGGACGCCTCGGCTGCTCCGGAGAGGGAGGTGCTCCCAGTCCCCCTCTCGGAGTTAGCGCAGGGACCGTTGAGTATTCCTGGTATTCCGGTCCTTGCGCACACCCGCCCCTTGAGAGCGGAGGCACCAGTTCTGCCTGGCCTGCCTCCAGCGCCTGGGGACCCGGGTCCACGCGCGCCCGGCTGGCGCTGACGTGGAGCCGTCTGTCTGTTCTTCCCTTCCTGTGGTTCCTAGCGCTAGGCAGTCCACCGGGTCGGGGTTCGGGTCCTCTTACGGAGGAGACCCAGCCTCTGACTCGGGCTCGGGCCCCGAGGCAATGGAGCTTGGGGAGGTTGAGGAGCAGGACGGAGGCTTCCGTTTTGCTTCGGCCTTGCGGGAGGTCCGGCAGAGAATTGCCGAGGGCCTACCCCAGGCCGCGGTGCCTGCTGGTTGCGTGGACTCGACTGAGTTCCGCTTGCCAGGCGAGGCGTTTGCCCCTAGGCAACCCTCGCAGACGCAGCTCCGCATTCTGCCTTCGTTGGTCTCGGACGTGGTCGATCCCCTCTTGTCTGGTGCCCGAGTACGGTTTGACTTACCGGATCTCGTGCGGCGCTACCAGCTTGGGGAGGATTCCCTGTTCGTTGTGCCAATTGTAGACGAATGTGTGTTCACTTCCGTCGCCCTGGGGGGAGGCTCGGCTTCCTCCGGAGCAGCTCCGGCTGCTCGGCAAGGGCTCCTGACTCCACCTTTTGCCCTCGCTGGCGCCCCTGCGCACACGCGTGCATCGGACCTACGAGGAGGTCTACCGGAACGCCGATGCAGCAGGTGCGGGGTGGTCCATGAGGCCTACCTCTCCTCGGTTCAGAGGTCGGCCCTGGAGGCGGAGGGCATGCTGGCGACGTGTCGCCGCGATGTCGCGGCTGCTCCGCCAGCTGGAAGTGCAGGCTCACCTCGCCAGCCACTCTTTGCGGTCTGCTGCGTCGACGGTGATGTGCGCAGTCATGGGGATGCGCAGGCTGTGGCTGTCGACGCTCTAGGTACTCGGCAGCAACACAGCAGACCTTGCTGGCCCTCCCTTTCCGTCTGGGAGCGACCCTCTTTCCAGGGGCCCAGCAGGTCATACGGGAGGCTGCCGCTGCAGCTACCTCCTTCAAGGACTCTAAGGCCTTGTTGGAGCACCCGCGGTGTCTCTCTCGCCCCCCTCCGTGCCACCTTCCTCCGCCGGGGTGCAGCCTACACCCGAGTCTGCCGGCTGGCTTCGGCCGCTTGGTAGGGGTAGGCGGAGGAACAGGTCCGCCAAGGGTAGGGGCAAGGAGCAGTCCTCGACTAGCTCCCAGCCTTTTCGCGGGCGCTGGGAGGTCTGCCCCGACCTCCCGTTAACCCATCAGGCTGCCGCTCAAGCCGTGTGTCACGCCCAGTCAGCTCCGCTACTCGGGTCTACACACGCGCTCCTACCCCATATCCCAGTGGGAGGCCGCCTCTCTCTATTCCTGCCGGAATGGGAGAAGGCTACCAACAACGCTTGGGTGCTGGCCACGGTCAGCATAGGCCATCTCCCACTGTGGAAGCGAGGTCCGCCCGACTTCACCGGCATACGTCGCACTCCGGTGCCGTCATGTCAAGCCAGGGCGGACATATTGCGCCGACAGTTCAGGCTCTGCTGGACAAGTCCGCAATCGAGCGCATTCCACCGGGAGAGGAACAGGCGGGATTTTATTCCACGCATTTCCTCGTCCCCAAGAAAGACGGCGGGTTCCGTCCCCATTCTCAACCTCAAGGGGTTGAATCGCGATGCTCGAAGTACCATCCTTCAAGATGGAGACACTGGGCGCCGGTGATCTCATCTGTTCAGCCCGGCGATTGGCTCACGCCAATCGACCTAAAGGATGCGTATCTGCATGTACCCATACATCCATCGTTCAAGCAGTACCTTCGGTTCTCTTCACGACGGGATGTATTACCAATTCAGGGTGCTCCCCTTCATATCGACGACTGCCCCAAGGGTGTTCACCAAGCTCATGTTAGTCCCAGCTACCCTAGCTCGCCGCAAGGAAGGCGTTGTTACCCTTACCTAGACGACTGGTTGCTCGGAGCACTAACACAGCCAGCGAAGTCAAGATGCTACTCACACAGTGATAGACATTCTAACTCGACTGGGGTGGATCATCAACCTCAAGAAATCCGACCTGGTACCCACCCAGGACTTGGTTTTTCTTGGAGCGCCGATTCCAAACGAACAAGGATCTCGTTTCCTTGTCGCCCGACCGGGTCACCAGAGTTCGGGAGATGGTATCTTCATTCCTCTCCCAGCCCCAGGCACCAGCACGGACTTGGCTCCGTCTACTGGGCCATATGGCGGCGACGATCTCTGTAGTGTGGCGGGCGCTGTTGAGGATGTGCGCCCCATACAGCAAGCTTTGGCTCGGCTGTGGACTCACACGGAGGATCTGGAGCGCAGTCTCACAGTCCCCGAGTGGTTGACACCTCACCTTCAGTGGTGGACAAATGTCGGGAATCTCACCAGGGGGTTCCCCTTGGAAATCCTGACGCCAGCTCTCACAGTTCAGACCGATGCGTCCCTCACGGGCTGGGGGTGTTCTGGTAAGTCTGTCGGCTTCCGGACTCTGGTCCGGCCAAGCCCACCTTCACATCAACGTGTTGGAACTGAGAGCTGTGCGGTTGGTATTCGGCGCTTCAGAGAGCATGTCCGTGGCCAGGTAGTCCGCCTTCAGTTAGACAACCAGACGGCCATGTCGCATACATCCTGAAGCAGGGAGGCACGGTGTCCCCAGCGCCTCCGGGAAGCGTGGGACTTTCTCCTCTGGTGCGACCAGTACGATTGTCAGGTACTCCCTGTTTATCTCCCGGGGCTGGAGAACGTGCGAGCAGATGCGCTCTCTCGCCGGATCCTGGCCCCGCACGAGTGGATGCTCGACAGGCAGATATTCACAGTAATCTCCCAGTTGTACGGGTCGCTCGAGGTGGATCTGTTTGCGTCCGGGCGGGACGATCAGACACCCGTGTTCTGCTCTCGGATACCGGACCCAGGGGCGGCTGCCGGCGCCTTCCTGCTGGATTGGACGGGCAAAGTGCTCTGGGCGCTCCCGCCGCTACCACTCATTCCCCGTGTCCTTTCACAGCTGTCCACCCAGCCAGCTCGGGCTACTTGTGCTACTGGCACCGCTTTGGTCGTCACAGAGCTGGTTTCCGGTAATTCTCAGGTTTCTGGCTCAGCCTCCTGTTCTATTACCTTTGGCGACCGGACATTCTCACTCAGAACGGAGCTTCCACCCAAATCCACGGATTCAGTGGGTGGCTTGGCCTCTGTCAGGTCTAACCTCGAGGCACGCTGAATTCCTGCAGCAGTTGCAGACACAATTCTGGCTTCGGTATGGATTCGACAAACGCTCAGTACGAGGATAGGTGGTCCCGCTTATGCGCCGCTGGTGTTCAGATAGGGGATTGCAGATCCCTTTTCTCGCGGATTTAGTCCGGTATTGGAGTTTTGCAAGCTCGCTTTGGAAGAAGGCCTGGCGGCTTCGACCATTCGCGGCTACTCCACCGCTATTTCCACTTTTCACACCCCTGTCGATGGTGCTCTTCTGGGGCAGCACCCTCTCGCATAGCGCTTTCGCTGGCGCTGAACGGATTCGACCTGCTCTCAGGCTTAACCAGTCCACCTTTGGGATTTGTCGATCGTGGCTCGATTGGCTGTCCGTCCCACTTTCTCACACCTATCGGCTATTTCCATTCAGTTGTTGACCTGGAAAGCTGTTTTTCTGGTGGCGGTAACATCTGGTCGTAGGGTCGGCGATTTACATGCTATGTCGTCCGACCCGGCGCTGACTGTGTTTCACACGGATCGTGTCAGTATTCGCCTCCCAGATACTTACCGACCGGCGAAGGTCGATCACGCTTCCATGTGACAGCTCCTATCGAACTTCCTACTCTTACCCAGCCTTCCACATCGGGGACCACTCCTCGACGAAGCACTCACCCGCTGGATGTCCGTGAAGACGCTCAAAGTCTATATCAAACGAACGCAGGGAATCCGCACGGGGTACCCAGCTGTTCTGTTGTTACGGTGGCGGGAAGGCTGGTCTGCCAGCGAGCAAGCAGACTTTGTCTCGCTGGCTCGTCTCGTATTTGTGCCGCTTATCAGGCTAAGGGCAAGCCTCCCCTGAGGGGTTGAAGGCTCACTCGGGTCAGGGCAGTAGCCGCCTCAAAAGCTTTTGCATCGGCACTCCCCATTGAAGAGATCTGCTCCGCCGCTATTTAGAGCCGCCAAGCACGCTTTTATCGCCATTATCAGCTCGACACGCATTCCGTAATCGCGCGAGCTTTGGCCGCATTGTTCTCTCCAGTGGACAGTGTCCTGCCACCCTGACCGAAAGTGAGTCTTGGTTTATTGGTTGTTTTGACGCTACTGTACAATAATTCCATTATTGACATGTCTGCTACTGTGTGCTCACTCAGAGAACCTGTACCCCCTTTCGATTCTCTACGGAGTTACTATATCGTTAGTGAGTGGTATTTTGCATTCCCCCTACGGTGCTCTTATGTAAAAGCCACTTAGTGGGTGGGGATTCATTGACATTCGCACTACGTGCAATGTCTCATTATGCTAGTGAGGTCGTCTTTGAGCACAATTCCTCCCTGTCAGTTCCCTCCCATAATGCCTCTCGAAGCTTAAACTGGGACAAGTGACAGGTGAGTGTTATGGCGCCTGTTCAATTTTTTTTCCATGATACGATCGCTATATTTGTGTGTGCTTGGACAGAATTCCTCCTCCCTGGCCTCCGGTCTTTGGGAGTCTGTGTTTATGCATAATATGTACCCCAAGGATCGATCTCTCTGAAAAGAATTAACCAAACCTGCAGAGGTTTTCAATTCTTTGAAGAGAGTCGCCCTTGGGTAGGGCCTCCGCCTCCCACAATTCTGTTCACTGATATATTCAGCAGAAGGAATGATGATACGGGTCTAGGAGCCTACCCAGTTGGTGCGCATGCGCTAAGGGAGGTAACTCCGTGAGGTAGGGGCCGTATAATAAATAAAAGAGTTTATTTATTGTTCAATCTTTTTATTCAAAAAACATTGATACAACTGTCACAGGACATTTTTCAGCCGGAAAATGCATAATATGTACCCCAAGGACGACTCTCTTCAAAGAATTGAAAACCTCTGCAGGTTTGGTTAAATTCATATTCTCGAAACTGTCTTTAACTTGCTTTGCATTCAAATGTGGTCGCAAGCCAGAAGTGTTAAGAGTAAAGAATGCCATTTAGAAAGTGGTCAAATGTAACACATTATATTTAGGATTACACTTGCTCAGTAAAGTACAGATTCTTGTACTCCTGTTAGTGTTAGGTTGAGTGCGATTCAGGATTCGAACCCACACTCTCAGTCAGGCACCTAATTGCCAGCACATAAGTGTAATCCCAAATATAGCAGATGTTACAGCAGTGTTAAGGTTGTAGACATCTACATCAGGTTTGATATTGCAATGTAAATGATTTGTCACTTGTTATGATAGGCCTCCAGTACCAGGGTTGGATCAAGAGGGGGTAGCACGCACGCACGCACGCACACACACATACACACTGAAAAATGAAAAAATATTCCCTGAGGAGCATTTACCCCTAACCTTTGGATTTCATGATTTATGTGTGCGCATACGCACACACATAGACACCCCTATTCCCCAGAAAAAAAATTCCCAGAGGAGCATTTACCCCCCAACCTTTACCCCTAACTTCATGATTTATGTGTGCACATGCACGCACGTACACATAGACACACACACACTCCGCTCCTGATACACTATTACTTCAGTACGTTAAGTGACGATACTAGATTCGTCGGTCACTGATTAGCTTGGTTTGTCCACTGATTGTCTCTTTACCCATACTGGATATTACTAATGACTTTCAGCCACTTTTATCTGGTTCCTACTGAATTATTTACATGCAGATTTTGTGAAGCGGGATTATTGCTGACTGTTGTGGAAAACAAAATATGTACTCATGTCAACAATGTGGATTTGCAGGCGGAGCTGCGTGAGCTGGAAGAGAAATATCGCCAGGCGATGATGACAAGTGCCACATTGGACAATGAAAAACAGACACTGATATATCAATTAGAGCTTCTCAAAGACCAGATTGAGGAGATTGAAGAGTCATATGTAGAACTGCAACGAGAACACAAGGACCGGTGTAGAGTAAGTGATCCTCAGAACTTTTTATGTCAAGCATGGTTTTTGAAAGAGTTCTCAAACCAATGTTGAAACGGTATGCTCTTACCACGGTACAGTATGTATTGCCGTACACGGCCTTCGGTTTGGTCCGTTTCGGTTCGGTATATATAATCATAATGCAGAAAATTGACAACAAGAGCTAAACCTTTCACTGTTTGATAACATTGAAAACAATAACCTCAATCTTTAATATTTTGAATGAACAAAATTGTCATTTTATGCCTTGATAGAAATGCCGGTACGTAAACCCAAAATACCGAATTTTTGGAATGCATTATGGTATACTGAACCGAAGGCAAAATACCGTTGTAACGAACCAGAGATTTCCATACATTGCACATGTTCGGTGGCTGTAATGCATATCGACTGATTGATTTTCTATCTTACATGATTCGATCTGCCATTATTAGTGTCGATCTCATAATATCTCGTATTTGGTTTCCATGGTATTAAAATGTCTGCAGCAGACTTAGCTGTAGTTACCTGCATGTCGATACTATGCGATACAGCAATGACTTTTCTGGAAATACCTAGAAGCCAGTGCAGCATTCCTTTCTGTTTTCTCTTTTGGTATAATCCCTGCTCGTCATATTCCATAGTGTTTCGTGGCTCAAATAATGAGCCAACTTGACGAACAACTAGAAGAGGCTCTACACACTCGTGACAACTGGTTTGAGCGGCTGATTTGTAGCGTTTGTTGAATTCGATTAATTACTCAGACGATAAGACTCAGTCGAATTCGGCATATGGATTCGACAGGCTGATCCGTGTCAGTCCACCTTTAGAGTTACAGCATGGAAGTAACAGTAGTCATAGTGTTACAGCTACTTTTGTGAAATGAGCTCCATGGAAATTTTTAATAGAACACCATGGCAGACAATTTGAACGTGTATGACACTGCTTGACTTCTGTTTTCTGCCCTCATGTAATATTTTTCTCCTTTTCTTTTGCAGGATTTAGAAATGAAGAAGAGATCATGTACGGAACTAGAATCAGAAGTTAAGGTGTTACGAGAACATATGGTGCTAAAAGACAAATTGATTGAGGTACGTCCAAAGCCAATCTGCTTCTCTTTGTATGGGGGGCGGTGGGGTAGCCTAGTGGTAAAAGCGTTTGCTCGTCACGCCGAAGACCCGGGTACACATGGGTACAATGTGTGAAGCCCATTTCTGGTGTCCCCCGCCATGATGTTGCTGGAATATTGCTTAAAGCGCCGTAAAACCAAACTCGGTCAGTCAGTCAGTCTCTTTGTTTGGAACAATGCTTTACTGCGGCATGGTATCTCAGTGGGCTAGCACTATAAAAACCAGCTTCAGTCTGGGCTAGTACAAGCAGCCGCACATACACGACACGCATGCATGTCGTCATATGAGCGAAATATTCTCAAGCACGACGTTAAACCCAATTTCACCTCACCTCACCTTGTATGGAACAGATTTATTCAGATTCATGCTCTATACCACAGTCTCCAAAGAAGACTTCAGAGAAGCATAACATAGTGATGATCTGGCAGGTGTAGACATCACTGATCCCTGTGCATAATTGTTAATTGGATAGATTGTGAATAGAACAATCATGTGATCCTATTGATTTTGTTTGTTATAGTTAAATCTGCTAGGTCACACATTTGTCACATAGTGTTTCTGGTGTCCCCCGCCGTGATATTGCTGGAATATTGCTAAAAAGCGGCGTAAAACCATACTCACTCACTCACTCCTAATGTTGGAAGTGAAACATTTCAGGTTTCTCAAAAGTTCAGCAGGCTTAAAAATTCGGAAATAGGAAATGGGAGGAATTATTAGCAATCATCAAAATGAATACTACAGTCACATGTCATCAATAATATTATACCTAAACTATTGTTAGGAAATAGTTTTAATTTGAATAAACAATACACAAAGTTATGGTCAACTTCTAAATTATGTTCAGAATCCTGTTTTTCTTAGTTGTCCTTGAAATAAATTAGTCTCTGCTCACTAGTGCCATGACTGGACCTTTTATATATATTTTTGCTCAAAGTCACTACATTTATCAATAATTGATCAAAGTTTGCCTTACAAGTATCAAATCTCTATGATCTTTATGGAAAGCCAGCCATTCTCAGAAGAGAAGGAAAGCTCAAGGACTCCAGAATCCGCTCAATTTCAAACAATGCATGATAACAGTTTTTCTTTTTTTACAGGAGAGTGGTTTTGTGATCATGTCCACAGAGAGCGGAGAGTACAAGCTAGAGAAGAACTCATCCATGTCCAATGGTCCGGTGCCAACAACAGGATCCGTGCTGCTGTCATCAGAATCCATAGAAATATTGAAAGAAGCAGGAGATGGGTCATTAGGTACTGCCAATCAGCATCATCTTAGAAGTAGTCCTGTGCATGAAACTAAACCATGTAGTGATGGGCGGGAAGACAGCACAGAACCACAGTCACCTGAAAGTCAAGGCTCAAACAAACCTTTGGGTAAAGATGGCATGGATGGGGAAAATTTGGGGGATAAAAGTGAGCAAGACCAGCAGGGTGGTTCTGATTCTGTGCTGGTTCCCACCAAAGGGCTTGGTACTGAAAATGTGTCTGAGAGTGGACCATCTGCTTTAGGTGATATAACTGATGGTTCTGGGACAGACGTAGATGGTGGAGTGGTTGCAAATGTTCTTGAAGAACCAGAGATGAAATTAGGTGGAGATGAATCTCAGATGAATGATCAGGTTGAAGATGGGACTAAGCAGAATATTGAAGATGGTGATAAGGGTGTGGGAGTCTTGGGTAATGAAAGTCAAGCTGAACTTGAGACAAAATCTCAGTTGAGTGGAGTTGAATCTGAAATGGGTGGAGTTGAATCTGATTTGCAGTCAAGGGATGAGGTTATAGAAGGAACTGAGCAGAATAATAAAGATGGTGATGAGGGTGTTGGAGTCTTGGGTAATGAAAGTCAAGCTGAACTTGAGACAAAATCTCAGTTAAGTGGAGTTGAATCTGAACTGGGTGGAGTTGAATCTGAACTGGGTGGAGTTGAATCTGATTTGAAGTCAAGGGATGAGGTTAAAGAAGCAACTGAGCAGAATAATAAAGATGGTGATAAGGCCGTTAGTGTTTTGAGTAGTGAGGAGATGCTGTCAGAAACAAGGTCATCAGTTCCAGTTCTCGATCTAGAACTGCAGAGTTCATCCGATACAATGCCTAGAGATGATTCTGGCATTTTCTCCCCAGATGATGTTGTAAATCCTCATACAGGTTTCTCGGGTCAAGTCAAAATTATTGAGCCTGACACAGATGAGGAGGGTGATGAGTTCTTTGATGCAGTCAGTACTCCCTCACCCTTTGCTGTGATTAAAGACAAGACCAATTATGAGTTCAAAGAAGGGGAGGTGGATCTGCAGCCTGGTGCCAGAAAGAAAGCTGAAGGTGATGATGTGTCGGAAGAAGCATCTTGTGATTCTGACACAGTAGATGATGAATTTGACGATAGAGTTTGTCACAGTGGGGATGAACTAGATGATAAAGACATTGGAGTTCAAGACAAGCTGGAAGATTCTATAGAGGAGGTTGAAGGAGATAATCTAAGGGTGGATAAGTGTGTTAATTTAGAAGGTGAAGATGGGCTGCAGGGAGTTCAGAGTGGTATTGACAAAAGTAACCATGTTGAATCTGAAGAACAAGCAAAGATAGCTGACAATGAACAGGTAGAAAGTCGTGTTGCCCAAGACAAGGACACCGCAAATGATCCATCAAATGTTGAGGCAAAGGAAGGTGATGAAGGTCAAGCAGCTAGTGATGAAGATCAAGCAGCTATGGAAGAGGACCTGGGGAAGGCAGAAGGTTCTGTAGCACTTGAAAAGGATAAAGGAAAAGAAAATGATCAGGGAAATGTTCAGGAGAGAGTTGGCGAGAATGAAAAGGCTGACACAAAGGGTAATCTAGATCTGGAGAAGGAAGAAGGTTGTGTCGATCTGAAGGTTGATGGAGGAGTTGCTAAGGAAGTGGATGAAGAATTTGCCATCAAGGATGATATTAATGTAAAGAATGAGGACAGCAAAGAAGAGGAAGAAAGCCATTGTGAAAGCCCAGATACTGAAGAGGAAGAATTGGAGGATTTTTCTACAGATGAAGATGAGAGAAGTGGGGAAGTTAATGAAGCTGTAAAGACAGAAAAATATCAGGATGTGGAGACAGAGGTCTGCCCTGAAGAGCAGATACAGGGCAATGTTCAGAGAGATGAAGAGGATGGGAACAAACATCAAGAAGGATTGGAGAAGGAAAATGTTGACAAGGTTCAGCCAGAATGCTTAGAGAAAGATGGTGTTGGAGAGAGCAAGAAGGATGACAAGGAAGATAGAGCCGAGGATGATGAGTTTACAGATGTCAAAGAAGAGCAGCTTTCAGAAAGCAGTCAGGTTTTCAGTGATGATATGTCTATTGATGCAGGTAGCAAAGAAACTGAGGAAGACAAGGATGAACAGACAGTAAATCCTGTAGCATCTGATCAGTCTGGTACTGAACCTAATGCTGAGAAAACAGGAGCTGGTGTTACTGTTGCCACAGAGGATCAGCGTGTCAGTGTTGGGGTGGAAGGCATTGCGATTCCAGCAACACAGGAAGAGGATCCTGAAGCATCTAATCAGTCAGGCACTGAAATGGATGCTGAGGTTGGAGGATCTGATGTAAGGCATGTGCTGACACAGAAGATCAAACTTTTGAGTTGGAAGGTGATGTCGTTTCAACAAAACAGGAAGAGAGCCAACCTGACACGGCACGGGACGGTGATTGTGAAGTAAAGAATCTACAGTGCAGTGATCAAGATGATAATGATGTCAAAGATGCATTGTCTCTGAATCCATTAAACGATTTGACAAAAGAACCTTCCAAAGAAAACGTTGATGTAAACATTGCAATTCAAAGTGAGGGAACTGAAGAATCAGAAGAAACTCATGTAACAGATGAAAAGGAAGAGTCTACAAGAGAAACAAATTTGTCAGTTGAGATAGAAAAGCAAGAGGTCGATGGTACTGGTGCTGATGCTGGTGCTGGTGCTGGTGCTGATGCTGATGCTGATGCTACAAGATCTAAGGATGCTGGAGGATCACATGGAAGTCAAGACTTGGAGGAAAGTGAAATTTCACCTCACAAGAAGGATGTAATGATTGAAACAGAAAAACCAGAAGATGGTGCAGAAGCCAAGGACAGGCAAGAAATTAAACCAGAAGAGGCTGTAATACCAAGAGAAAAGCTCTCTTCAAATGAAGCGGTCAGTGAAACTAAGCAGACAGAAGGCCGTGTCAGTGATACATCTCAGGTTGCTGGGAAGGGAAGTCCTGAACGGAAGAATACTGATGATATACGTGATGATGGCAAGAGAGAAAAAGACAGTAATCTAAACCAGGATTCAGCAAAGCCTGACAACAATGACATTGCAGTTTCTCCTGAAGAAAACACTGAAGATGCAAAGGTTGATGGAAGTGGGCAGAGAATTCATGTGGAGGAAGAAGTTAAGGAACAGGCAGAGAGTAAAGAAAAGGAACCTGAACCTGAACAGAAAGATAATGTTTTGAAAAGATCTGAATATTCTGGCGATTCCGATGATGAAGTCTTCATAAAGGAAGAGTCACCAGCCAAAGTAGAAGAAGAAAAGAAAGATGTGGACAGTCCTATACCTTCAGTGTCTTCTTCGGAAGTTAAAAGTGAGAGTCGAATGAGGAGTGATGGTGAGCTCTCTGAAGATGACTTGCTGAATGATGCCTACAGTTTTGATGACATTGATGAAGTTCTGGAAGATCCGGAAGAGCCGACTGCTTGTGGAGATGGGAGCAAGAATGAAAATGACACAACTCCATCTGAATCTCTTGAAACCGAAGTACAGATTGTCATTGACAAAGCAGAGGACCTGAAAGAGGGTGACCAGTCAGAAGGCAAGGGAGAAACTATTGGTATTCGATCATTTTCAAAAGCCTCCTCCAGTGACTCCATCTCAGTTGGGTCAGGAGACCTTGTCGTGTCTGATGATCCAGGATCCACCAGCAGTGGAGCAGATGGAGTGTCCGTGATATCAGCTCCGCTTAGTCCAAAAGAAGGGAAAAAGGGCAAGAAGTTTGGAAAGTTTTTCAAGAGTATCTTCAAATAAGAGATTGAGCTGGACTTAATCTTACTGGTGCTCTTCCCCTTATCTGTCAGTGCTCAATAACTTGACTTGACGTAATACTTTTCTTAGAAGTCATATTTAACAGCATTTGCTTATAAAGTAATGTGAATATTATGTTGACCTTGATTTCAATTTCTTTGGCATGACTTCACTTTTAAAAAGTTTATGACCATTATGTGGTTAAAGTCCATTTAAGTTTTTAGTCATGGTGATCTTTTGAATAATAAAAAGGTGTTAATGTTTTCTAAGTGAAATTTGTATTGGTAGCTTGAAGCAGGTAGATTTGTTGCACTGGATTGCATTCGTAAGGTTGATTTCAAATTTTGGTGCTCTTAATAGTAGTCTAGTCACTTGTACTGTCTGTAAGGCAGAGTCCCTCTTCTTTGTCGTTCTATATGGGAAACATACTGAATACACACTGGCAGGTTCAGTTGAAAAGGAAAGCCATGTTTGCATGTCAATATTCCTAAGTTCTGGCGATGTTAAACAAAGGAGCATGGATAGTTAGCCATCAGTTTTGCATCCAAATTAGCATAGCAGGTGTGTGGTGATGTTTGTTGTTACTTGTAAAGTTGGGCTTCGATTACCTCTTGTTTGTGAGGTTAACTGAGCTAGCATGTGTTGGGGAGTGTTTCACAGTTTACATTGGGACTGCATGTTGAATGTCTGGTTTCCGCTAATGTTGGACTGTCACTGAAAATATGACTTGTGTTCAACATCTGCCAAACAGCAAATGAGCTTATGTCCTTCAGTCCTGATCATATTGCTACCATTATAAATGGAGTTTCTCTGATTTCGACAAGAGCTGAATTGATACACAGAACACATAAGACAATATGTCTCAATACCTTGTTCTCAATGAACCATAGGTAAAAACGTATGTTATACTTACGGTATTTTTGTGTGTAGCATAGGAACAAAATATGTTTGTTTTTCAAATGTCCGATTCATGTTGGGATGCAATTATGAAATTTACATATCAAATCTGAGGTGATCAATGCTAATTTTTAGACTCATTGGTATGAGGATAATTTATGTCAGAGCCGAAAACATAGCGCTTGCCTGAATGTAGTTCATAGCATTTTCAGTAGACTTTAGTGGTATTTGGACTATTATCAGCTCTGATTACTGGACCGATCAGAACTTATTGGAGTCGTGCTACGAAATAGTGGTGAAAGTCACAGACTAATTATTTTAGTGTGTTTAGAGACAGCTATCAGACAGAGAATTAAGTGTGTCATGTAGAGTATCGAGTTCTACAGAGCTCCAGTAGAGTTAGCGTGAGTCTAATAGTTGATCAGTAAATATGATCTTTAACCAATGGTTAATAAATACAGATGCACAATTTGAAATGGTTTTATTAGGTAATTGTTGTATTGTGCTATTGGATTTATTTTTTTTTAAGTAGCATTTGTATGCAAAATTTGATTTGGTAATGGTGATATATTTTGCATATTTTGTGCCAGTATGCAACTCATGAGGACCGTCTTCGTGTGATGGTTCATGGGTGGATCAGTGGTTAAACTTGTGTAAATGTTGAGGGATCCTTGTCATGATCCAAATGTCGACAGATTTAGAAAGTCCCTATTTTGAAAAGCTATAGGGGCCAACCTCCAAAAACCTCATCTTGTTCTATTCAAACTCTTCTTTACCCTGCTTTGCATGAATCTGTTCAAACTCTGGTGATATTATGTTCGATATCCTTGTATATTTCTTCCAAGGAGCTTCACTGTCTTTCAACAATAGCGCACTAATCACTAGTCATTACTTATGTAAACAATTCACTGTACAGTGTTGTGTCCCCTTGACATATCCCAGGATCTTATGTGCATTAAGTTCTTTGCCCTAATTATGTTTCACCGATACTGTTTTGTATCATCAAAGTGGAAGGTTTTCCACACTGCAATATACACCTTCTTCCCTTCATTAATTGACCTGTTAAGATCCGGGTTAGAATTGATCTTCAGTAACCCATGCTTGTCGTAAGAGGTGGCTGACAGGATCGGGTGGTCAGGCTCACTGACTTGGTTGACACATGTCACTGGATCCCAGTTGCATAGATCAATGCTCATGCTGTTGATCACTGGATTGTCTGGTCCAGATTCAATTATTCATAAACGACCACCATATAGGTGGAATGTTGTTGAGTGCGGCGTAAAACTAAACTCACTCACTCGCCCTTCAGCACAGTGGTACAGTGGGAACACAGATCAGTAGGGCATTATAGTCGGATGATATCCTGTTATTGATGGTTGTTTTTCCCCTTGATGCTCCAAACAGTGTCTAATGATAGTCTTTGTTTCTTTGTGAAACAAGGTCACATCAGTTGGGAAATGTTTCCTCTATGCTTATTGTATACATTGGAATAGAAACTTGTCTAGACTTCTGCTTTGGCAATGCACTATTATATTATATCATGACTGGCATTGAATAACAACAAACATTGGCCATGGTCGCTTATTTTGAACATGAGTATATAGTTATCCAATCCAGCATTCAGTAGTTTACCCAATAGTCCTGCCCTGGTGATGACTGACATCACTATAACTAATAACAAACTGCCATACCGTCTGTTTTATAATCCATCCTGCCATGTTGATGCCTGTGGCATGTTTGTGATGCAATCCTGCCTTTATGTGCTGCCATTTATCAGCTGGACTTCTTAGCCCAACTGTTCTGCTTTGTGATCACCTCCATGGCCTAGTGTGCAGACTATGTACACAGAAAGCCCTTCTGTGGTCTCGTGTATACAGTAACTTCCAGGACAGTGCCTGGTGCATGGTCTAGTTGATGGGGTGTTTGCTCAGAGAGCACATGGTCATTTGTACAGTCCGACAATATATCAAAACAAATTAAATTCTACTTGTTTTCCTTCCTGATGCCCACAAACAAGGCCTGGTTGGCTCCTACTCAGGATACTTTGTCCTAGTGGGGTGTCTGTGTTATTATGCAGCATTGTAGCTCAGTAGCACCGTTTCTGGTGTCCCCCGCCGTGATATTGCTGGAATATTGTCCTAGTGGGGTGTCTGTGTTATTATGCAGCATTGTAGCTCAGTAGCACCGTTTCTGGTGTCCCCCGCCGTGATATTGCTGGAATATTGTCCTAGTGGGGTGTCTGTGTTATTATGCAGCATTGTAGCTCAGTAGCACCGTTTCTGGTGTCCCCCGCCTTGATATTGCTGGAATATTGTCCTAGTGGGGTGTCTGTGTTATTATGCAGCATTGTAGCTCAGTAGCACCGTTTCTGGTGTCCCCCGCCGTGATATTGCTGGAATATTGTCCTAGTGGGGTGTCTGTGTTATTATGCAGCATTGTAGCTCAGTAGCACCGTTTCTGGTGTCCCCAGCCGTGATATTGCTGGAATATTGTCCTAGTGGGGTGTCTGTGTTATTATGCAGCATTGTAGCTCAGTAGCACCGTTTCTGGTGTCCTCCGCCGTGATATTGCTGGAATATTGCTAAAAACGATGTAAAACCATACTCAGTCAGTCAGTCAGTCAGTAAGAAGCACCGTTAGTCTAGCAATACACACACACACACACACACACACACACACACACACACACACACTCTCTCTCTCTCTCTCTCTCACTCTCTCTCTCTCTCTCTCTCTCTCTCTCTCTCTCTCTCTCTCTCTCTCTCTCTCTCTCTCTCTCTCTCTCTCTCTCTCTCTCTCCCCCTCCCTCTCTCATTCCTCCTCTTTCTGTGTTAGTATAACTGCCTGTGCTGTCCTCACATTTGGTCTACATTCCTCTTGATTTTACTGTTTTTAGTTTAATTTGCATAGTTGATAGATGGGGTGCTTTCTGAGAGTAGAGACATATGAAGCAGTAGAGAGGAGG